AGGATCTCAAGTAGGTCTTTGTACTAAGCACCTTGAAGGCAGGGTCCAGAAGGAGTTTTTCTGTTCATAATTCATTCCCTGTCTCCTGCCATCACGGATTTGGGTTGGTTAATAAGAAAAGTTGCCTGCATGATAGTCATCAAAGTAGGACTATGCAGTGAAGAGATAGGAACAAATGACCCCAAGTGGCGAGTTCTAGTAGCTGAGGAGAATAGGAAGATAATTTTGAATTTTCTAGTAATATAACAAGTCCTTGAATTATGTTTTGTTCAAGGTCATTTGGTTATAATGTTGATGAGATGCTGTAGATATAACTCTTGTTTTTATCAACTAGCCTATAGTAAAATTGGTTTCATTATATGTCATTTAGCTCAAAGTCACAGAGCCTGTCAATAATGTTAAGTGAGGAAAAAGTAAATAATACTGTTAAGTGAGGACTTGATGTATAGAGAAATTTAGGCTCTGAGGTTGTCTCTGAAATGTCCTTTCCTGGCTGGAAGTGTTATTGCTCCAGGGCATATTTCTGGCCATGTTCTCCCCCTTCCAAGCTAATGCCCTGGCTGGGGAAGTAGCTAGCTGCATTGGAGATCACCATCATCAAGTTAAACCTTTATGTACAAGGAAGCCTAGGTTTTGATGAAAGTGAGTTGTAAGGGATGATGCACTGGGCCACCGTGATCCATTTGCCCCATCCTGTTTCTTTACCTCTAGTAGCTAGAGACCAGAGCATTGGCTTTCACATGTCGCCAATAAAGGGACTCCTCAACTTGCTTAGTTTGTCCAGTTAATCTTGGCTTGAGTAGCAAAAGGTATTTAGAGCAGTGCTAACACTAATTGTTCTCTACAGCTTTCTCCTTCCTTCACCCCTACCTCAGTGATTCGTAAGATGTACGAGAGCAAAGAGAAAAGCAAGGAGGAGCCAACATCTGGAAAAGCAGTTCTTGGTGACAGTAAAGAGGACACTCAGAAGGCCAGTGAAGGTACTGCAGAGCTGTTGAGGGTGTATTGCCCAGATAGTATGTGAGAGAGGGAGCATGGATTTGAGTGCTGACCAGCATGGCCTGATTCTCTGCAAAGTGCTAGACAATGCCCTAGCTGGTTTGACTCAGTGGATAGAGCGTCGGCCTGCGGACTCAAGGGTCCCAGGTTCGATTCCAGTCAAGGGCATGTACCTTGGTTGCGGGCACATCCCCAGTAGGGGATGTGCAGGAGGCAGCTGATCAATGTTTCTCTCTCATCGATGTTTCTAACTCTCTATCCCTCCTCCTTCCTCTCTGTAAAAAAAATAAATAAATAAAATAAAATAGAAGCACTAGACAAGATCCCTGACTGCTCTAGAACACATTTCTGTGTTCGACATTGAGAAGGTTGGACCAGCTTATAGTCACTTAGCCGCTTGAAAACTGACCAGTCTAAGAGTACTAGTATTAGACAGGAAGGGATGAGCTTTAGGTTTGGATTCTTATTTAGGTTCAAAGTTGAATTATTAGTACATCTATTTGGCAAATTGATATAGTTCAACCAGTTTTACTTCTGAAAGGTTCTCTCCAGTCTATAAAGACTGTGTCCAACAAACTCTGTGCAACAGATGAAGCATATAGGAAGTGTGCCGAGCCTTTTAGAAGTACATAGAAAATGCTGACAGGCTTCTTTTAGGAATTGCACAGTTGAGATTGTTCAAGACATGGTGAAACATTCCGATGTTGGGTTTACAGGCCTGGGTATTAGTGTAAGAGCTTTTTGCCTGTGAGGAAGTTTGGGGTGGGGGGAGGAAATCCTGTTGGTCTCACTTAAAAAGGCAGTTAAGATTCCTTCACCAGGTTCTAATTGCTATTTGAACTTTCTGTTATGATGGATTTGCATAATTTTGATTTTTACCTTAGGCTTTGAAAAAGCATGTTAATCCCAAGCAGCTGACTAGGATAGGACGAGTTCCCACACAGATCCAGACCATAGCCATATGGGCAGAGCAAGGTATCCAGCTGAATTACATCACCAGACATGCTGTGCCAGGCTCACTTGCCCAATAGCTATTCCTGGGTTGAGAGGATTTTAAGAATAAAAACAGGGGCTTAAGAGTTACATTGTTTTTTTAACTTTAGAGCCTTTGGGTTTTTAAAGTGTAGCAAAGATAAACTCTGTTCCAACAAAGTGTTGAAGACTGGAAAACTTGGGGTCTGCTCCCAGCTCTGTCCCTGACTACCCCTATGGCCTTGACTGGACCTGTTCATAAGGAAAATTGATGTTTCCTAATTATGCAATCCTCTAAATTTGTTGAGGGGAGTCAAATAAGGATTGTGAGCTTTCTAAGAAATGAGATTTAACACCCCCTCCCCCCCCCAAAAAAAAAAAAAAAAGATTTACTGAATCATTGAGAGGACAAAGTGTTTGGGAGTTTGCCAACACTAAAAATATTCTGTCTGGATCCCTACAGAGAATCTCTTGTCATCCAACTCTGTGCCCAATGCTGATCGAGACTATTCTCCTACCACAAATCCCAAACTGTCAACATTGCAGCGGTCTTCATGTTCCACCCCACTGTCCCAGACCAGCCGTTACACCAAAGAACAAGATTATCGACCTAAAGCAACTGGGAGAAAAACACCCACCTTGGCACCCCCAGTTCCAGGAACACCTTTTCTCCGTCCTGTTCACCAAGTTCCCCTTGTCCCCCATGTCCCAATTGTTCGACCTGCTCACCAGCTTCACCCAGGGTTGGTCCAAAGGATGCTGGCCCAGGGAATACATCCACAGCATCTTCCAAGTTTGCTACAAGCTGGTGAGTTTCTGCCCTGCCATGACAACAGCTGCTAGAACTAATAAAGTGCTGTGCTGTGGGAGGTTTTCATCCCTAGAAAGATGTTACTAGATTTTTCCATCTAACTGGTGGGCAGTGGGTCCAATCCAGTCCACTCCTTACTCTATTAAAAGATTAGGAACCTAGCTTAAGCATTTTTCACTCTCAGTAAACTTTCAGATCAGTAACACTGTACAGTGAAGCTTGAAAATTTCCAGGTAGATTAAGATTCTCACCAATTTCTTCTTTCTATCTAACAGGTGTGCTTCCTCCTGGGATGGATCTGACTCATTTACAGGGAATATCTAGCCCAATCCTGGGTCAACCCTTTTACCCTTTACCTGCTGCTAATCACCCTCTCCTAAACCCTCGTCCTGGGACACCTCTGCATCTGGCAATGATGCAACAGCAGCTACAGCGTTCAGGTAGGTTCAGGAATGGGCCGGGTGAGCTGGGTGTGGCTAAATAGGCTTAAAGTTTTGGACCAGTTCCCAGTGAGGGGGATGAATTGACATAGACAATTCATTCTTTAACTTATCCTGCAAGGCTGGGATAAGAGTATAACCAAAGACGAGGATGATGTAAACCAACCTCTACGGGATTTGGAATTCCTGTTCCTGTAAAACAGAGAGCCAATTGTGCTCTGGCGCTTTTTTGTCCTTTGCCTCTTAGGAGGCTGAAAATCCTTCCGACAGAGGTTCAACATAGGGACTGCCCAGAATAGATGCCTTCTCGCCAGCTAATGTTAGTGCTTCCGTGATGTGGCTGCTTGCTGTGGGACATAGTAGTCATGTCATCTACTAGGGTGTCTTCTGAATAGCTCAGCTTTCCAAAGTCTATCTTCTGGCATTTTGCAAAGGAATTTCCTAGAATAAATCATCAGGTAAAGAATTCTGTTTGGAGTTTTATGGATAGAGTTGAGTGAGGCAGGACCTGATACAGTACTTTCCCCCTCCTGTTCTAACTCTTCCTTTTTTTAAAATGTATTTATTGATTTCAGAGAGGAAGGGAGAAGGACAGAAACATCAATGATGAGAATCATTGATCAGCTGTCTCCTGCATGCCCCATACTGGGGATCGAGCCCACAACCCAGGAATCGAACCTGGGACCCTTCAGTCCACAGGCTGATGCTCTATCCACTGAGCCAAGCCGGCTAGGGCATAACTCTTCCTTCTTATTCCCACAGTTCTTCATCCTCCAGGCTCTGGTTCCCAGGCAGCAGCTGTCAGTGTTCAGGCGACCCCACAGAATGTGTCCAGCCGTTCAGGCCTGCCCCACATGCACTCCCCACTGGAGCACCGCCCCAGCCAGAGGAGCAGCTCCCCGGTGGGCCTTGCCAAATGGTTTGGCTCTGATGTGCTACAGCAGCCCCTGCCCTCCATGCCTGCCAAAGTCATCAGTGTGGATGAATTAGAATATCGACAGTGAGCAAGGCAGGCAGGCTCACCTAACCCTGGACCTATGGTGGACTCTGCTTGGTTTACAGGCTTTTACTTTGGAGCACTCTGTGCAAAGCTGTTTAGGAGGCCTAGGCATCTGGTGTGGTCTGCATGATGGAAGCCTCCATGGTCTGAATACAGGATGCACAGTCTTGTCAATGCCAGAAATAGTCTTTCTTTTTTTGTAAGATATGTGAATGAAGTGCTGGTGTCTTCACCAAGAGGTGGCACCTAAGGGTTCTGAGGAAATAAATGTATAGACCCTTATGTACAGACCTGTGTATAAATAATTTTTGTATATACATATAGGATAGCTTTTTTGAACTTATACAGCTGTACATAAAAAAAAAAAGTAGCTGATATTAGTTAAACCTGTGTCTAGTTTGTATTTCTTTCACTTGTACATTTGGGACTTTCTCTTTGGGTTGATTAAAGTTGCATATGCTGTGAATGAAGTGAATGGCATTATTGTGTTTATTTCCTCCTGAATCCCTTCCTCATTTCCAACCAGCTGACCTATCAGGGTCAATAGGTTCCTCATGGGAAATTAATCTGGTTTTAAGTTTTTCTTTAAAACCCATGGCACTGCCCTAGCTGGTTTGTCTCTGGATAGAGCGTCGGATGATTCCAGTCAAGGGCAAGTACTTTGGTTACAGGCTCAATCGCCAGGAGGGGGTGTGCAGGAGACAGCAGACCAGTGATTCTCATCATTGATGTTTCTCTCTCTCTCCCCCTCTCCCTTCCTCTCTGAAATAAAAATACATTTTTTTTTAAATGGACCAGTGACATCAAGGCTTATATCCTACAAAGTGACTGGATACCAGGCCTGAGGGGCATATCTTCTGAGTCGATAGACAGTGCTAACACAAACTCCAGAAAGACTCAGAGGGAAACAACTGTCACCAAGGAAACAAAAGAAACAAGTACTAGAAAAGCCTGAGTATGTGTATAAGCCCACATCTTCGTCCCTCACAAACTGCTAGTTCTAGCTCACTTCATCTATAATCTATCTTCCTGCAACTGTTTCCCTTCCTGATTCTCGAGCTACTGTCACCCCTTTAATCCATAATAAAATCATCTTTGACTTCTCTTCCTCTAAAGAGCAAGTCAGTCACCAAGTTTAAATTTCTCCTCTGTACCTATATGCCCAACTCCCATGTCCATATTCTCACCAGCCAGTCCACCACACAAAGATTTTTGCCAATTTCCCATTATCCGAGCAATCCCTTCAAAATCCCTTATTCCCAACCCCAAACCTCTGATTATACCCTTAGTAGACTCTCAAGTAGTCCTGACCACACCCCTCTTAATGCAATCTCCCACCGCCTTACGTAACACGTTATGTATACACACAAGGCTGCTCTGATCACACCGGTTGCCTCACTTGCAATGTTCTGCCTCCATGCCTTCAACCAGGTTATGTGGTTGAGGGCAGGACTGCCATGGGGGTTCAAGCAGAAAGGCTGGGCTACAGAAAAGGGGACATTTAGTGGCCAACCTGGCAGTATGGTTCAGCTGAACATTCAGCCCAACACTGACAGAGGGCCGTGCTCTGACTAGGGCAGGCAGGGAGCCCAGGAAAAGCACAGCAACCAGTGACAAGAACCAACATTTGGCACACACTGTGCTAAGCATTTTACAAGCACCACATCCCTTAATACTAACAATCTCCACTTTAGTAAGTGCTATTACTATCTCCATGTTATATGAGGAAACTAAGGCTTACTGAGATTAAGTAATTTGTGCAAGGTTCCACAGCTAATTAGAAGTTAACCTGCAGCCGAAACCGGTTTGGCTCGGTGGATAGAGCGTCGGCCTGCGGACTGAAAGGTCCCAGGTTCGATTCCGGTCAAGGGCATGTACCTGGGTTGCGGGCACATCTCCGATGTGCAGAAGGCAGCTGATCGATGTTTCTCTCTCATCGATGTTTCTAGCTCTCTATCTCTCTCCCTTCCTCTCTGTAAAAAATCAATAAAATATATTTAAAAAAAAAAAAGAAGAAGTTAACCTGCAATTCAAACTCCAATGTGCCTGGTCAGAGTATTTTACTCAGTGACCACACATCATCTCCCAAATGGGTTAGCCTTGCAAAGAATAAGCAGTTAACTTAAATCAAGTCTTTCGGCATCATATGAAGACCACTTGAAAGGACTAAAGGCCACAGCCAGTTGGAAGGATTTCCCATGATTAAACATCAAATTAAGATGTTGCAGCCCAGCTGGGGTGGCTCAGTGGTTGAGCGTCAACCTATGAACCAGGCAGTAACGGTTCAATTCCCAGTCAGGGCACATGCCAGGGTTGTGGGCTCAATCCCTGATGTGGGGTGTGCAGGAGGCATCCAATTGATGTGTTTCTCTCACGTCAATATCTCTCTTTCCCTCTCTCTAAAAATCAATGGAAAAATATCCTCGGGTGAGGATTAAAAAAAATGTTGCAGTCAGCTCTGACTGGTTTGTTCAGCAGTTAGAGCATTGGCCCTGTCAACCAAAAGGTCATGATTCAATTTCCAGTCAAGGGTACATACCTCAGTTGCAGGTTCAATCCCTGGTCCCAGTCAGGGCTCATGCAGGAGGCAACCAGTTGATGTCTCTCTCTCTCACATCAATGTTTCTCTCACTCTCGCTCCCTCCTTCCATCCCTCCCCGCTCCCTTCCACTCTCTAAAGATCAATGGAGAAAATATCCTCGGGTGAGAATTTAAAAAAAAAAAAGTTGCAGTCACATTTTTATCCAGTTCACACTCAAGACCAAGTTCCCAAGTAACCCCTTATCCAGCTGCCTCGCTGTACATACCCATCCACATTAGTCCATCGCAAAACAAATTCTGACAATGACACACGACCTGCACACAGCCAGCTGGCCGTCAGGTCCTTTATGCAGTTCAACACACAAGGTGACACCAAGTTAAGACAAGTGTTCCAATGTGGGTACCTCCATCTCCCTCCCCTGAATCCTGATCCAGTGGTTGCCAAAGCCAGAAGGGGCTTGAGGTGGGGGGCTTGGTCATGGGGAAAGCTGCAGTGGTTGGCCCAGCAGATAGGCAAAGGGGAAGGCTTCACTTCTTCACAATCTGAATGACATCCTCGTCCTCCAACGTATGGTCTTTACCCACTTTTTGAGGATTGTGTTTCACAGAGAGACCCCAGACCAGAGCACTATATGGAAGGGAAAAAGAACAGTCAGTATGAACAATCACCTAGCTCAGTGATGGCGAACCTTTTGAGCTCGGCGTGTCAGCATTTTGAAAAACCCTAACGTAACTCTGGTGCCGTGTCACATATAGAAATTTTTTGATATTTGCAACCATAGTAAAAGACTTACATTTTTGATATTTATTTTATATATTTAAATGCCATTTAACAAAGAAAAATCAACCAAAAAAATGAGTTCGCGTGTCACCTCTGACACGCGTGTCATAGGTTCGCCATCACTGACCTAGCTTGACTACCTGGCAGCCACCTTTCTGCTCAGGTTTAGCATTCAGGCTCTTAAGAGCTACAGTCCTGCAACAGTCAAGGATCCTTCTGCCTAGTCAAAAATCACACTCAAAGTTCATTCAGAGGCTTTAGCTCCACCAGCAGTGTGGCACACTGGAACCTTCACATACAAAGTAGCACAGACTTGGAAGTTGTGTAATTCCTCATGTTCCAAAGCCAATTTAAGAAAGTCAAAGAGAAAAAACACAAATGAGAAGTGTGACAAGATGAGCTTAAAATTAAGAAAGCATGGGTTTATTATAGAGAAATACCCTGAAATCAGATTGGAAATTAATTCTCAGAAGTACAGTGTCAGTTATCGACTGTTAAAGAATACCAGTTTTTATTGGTTCTACTAAAACTATCAGTGGGTATCTGATAAAAAATGTAGGACCCATCTTCCTCAGCCATGCCAGGAAAATTCTCCCTATCAAGAAACCATAACTGGGCCCTGACCAGGTAGCTCAGTTGGTTACAGCATCGTCCCAATATGCCAACGCTGTGGGTTCAATGCCCGGTCAGGACACATACAAAAATCAACCAATGAATGCACAAATAAGTAGGACAACAAATCAATGTTTCTCTCTCTCTCAAATCAATAAGTTAAAAAGAAATATATATACGGTAAATGAAGATTATTTTTATCCATGGATCTCAAGTACTAAAAATATGTAGTACTACTGATGGGAACTGGTAAACAAGACACTGAGACCTGCCTCACAGAAGCTAAGAACTATGTACCAAAGGACAGAAAATGGTGGCCATATTGCTACTAATGCCATGCTAAGAATTTCCAGTTAGTGAAATCAGTAGCTTACCAGAAAAAGAAGGCACCACCTACGTACCCATGATACTTACTATTTAAATTCCTTAATAAGATTTTTGTGAATCTTCATGCAGAAATCCTCCACTGTGGTCCTGGAGTAAGGCAGCACCACTGGGGATGTGTAATCTGGCAACTGGCCTTTGGGTTTGGTGTAACTAGAAAGAGAAGAAGCAGAGGCTGCCTACTTCTTGGAATGTTTCATGTGCTGAACACAAATCAGCCCTCCATCACCTCTCAGAACAGGTGCACATAACCCCAATTCGAGAAAAAAGTGCCCTCAATATGGCCCAGCAGATGATAGGAATTAATCTGTGTCTCCAAAGACTTTATGTTAATGAGCTCCACAAGACATCATTGTAATACAGTCTGGTTTAATTCCCACAGCAATATTACCCTATCCACTAAGACTTACATCCTCACAAGTTTCAGATAGTCCCAGATCTTTTCCAACAGGTCATCAAAATTCCAGCGGTGATGAGCAGAGATGGGTACACAGTGAGGTACCTTATAGATGATATCCAATTCCTCAATGGAGATCTGATCAATCTTATTTAACACATAGATACAGGGAATATAAACTCTAAAAAAGAAAAACAGGACATTAGTCTGGAGCTGCTGACAAGACTGTCAGTTTGATTATCAGTACCCCCTCATCCAGGATCCTAAATCAGAGACTCTCCAAAGAGATCATATGATGCAGATCAACCCCCACCCCCTCTATCCCACAAAAATGAACTTCCTACCAAAATAAAGTAGAACATCCAAAAAGTGAACTACAGGTAACAAAACCCAGGCTCTAGTTCCAGCCATGCAGCTAACTGAGAGAACATGCTACAGAGAAAAGAACACAAGCTTTAGAGTCATACAGACTGAATCTACTCATAGCTCTTTCACTTTCTACATATGTGCCCCAGGACAGGTCTCAGAGTTGATTTCCTACAAAGTTGTTTTCAGAAATGTAAGAATGTAAATGTATTTCTAATAACATATTTCATGGTAATTTTTAAAGAATAAAAAAAACTTGCCCAGCTGGCATGGCTCAGTGGTTGAGCATCAACCTATGAACCAGGAGGTCACAGTTCGAGTCCCGGTCAGGGCACATGCCCAGGTGTGAGCTTGATCCCCTGTGGGGAGCGTGCAGGAGGCAGCCAACCCATGATTCTCTCTCATCATTGATGTTTCTATCTCTCTCCCCCTCTTCCTTCCTCTCTAAAATCAATAAAAATATATTATTTTTAAAAAGCACTTTAAACAAAAATCTGGCAATGTCACAATCCCAATGTCCAATCAATGTGGCAGCTAAGGTTAGTATTAAATAGGCCGGCCACAAATTCTCAGGCTTCAATTATCTCACTAAATGCCTAAATCAAAGCACTGGCTTTATTTTCAAATGAGGATCAAATAAATTCAACCAATCGGAACAAATGAACAGGAAGGCAACTAGAAAATATTATATCCAAATGCCAGGAATAATTTTAACAGTGGTTTCAATTATTATTTAATTTCAAATATTAATAGTAGTAATGTTTCATGGATTAGGGTTTTAGCTAATGCACCCTTAGGTTAGAGAGAACAGACACAGCCCGGCCTACTGAGTTCTGCAGGATAGCCTCTAGGATTTCTCACATGGATTAATTCTAGGAGCGAAGACTGAGAACTTAGTCTCTTCAACCATCATATGACACGGAGCTTAGGGGACAGCCTAGTTCACAGCAAGTAACTGAGATGGGGAATCAGACCATCATAATGAAATTCCAAAGCAAAGAAGGAAGTTAGAAAGCAAGATCAACCCTTTATAGCCAAAGAAACCAAAGCCCACTGATATTTGAGATACTAGCACAACTACAGTTAGAATCAAGGTCTGCCACATTCAGGATCCAATGTTGTTTCCATTAAGAGGCTTCAAATTCAAACTCAGGCACCAGACTGCAGTCGGTCCATACCTGTTTCCTTCCACCACATCAATGAGGTCATCCGCTGTGGCATCGCTACGCAGAGTCACATCAGCATTATGAATTTTGTATTCAGCCAGAATGCTCTTCACAGTTTCAGCATCCAGCTCACTCTGAGGGCACTGAATAGACATAGAAGACAATGACTGGTCAGAGAGCAAAACAAAAAAAACTCCCAACAGTATCCATTGATGAATCTGGGTAACCTTAGCTAAGGTGCAGCAAACTCATATCTAAAGACTGCTATCCTGGATGAGAGTAACGGACTTATAGTAGGAAATACAAAAAACTAAAAATCTTTCCAAACTCTAGGGAAGGTGTTATGGCCTGAATTGTGTCCCCACAGCCCCCACTCAAATTCATGTTGAAGTCCTAGTATCTCAGAATATAACTTTTTGGAGATAGGGTCTTAAAGAGGTAACTAAGTTAAAATCACATGAGTAGGCTCATATAATGTAAGAGCAAGAATTTTTGTCTATTTTGCTCCCTTTTCCATCCACTCCCCAGAGCGTAAAGCAATACTTAGCCCATGGTAAGCACTCTATTAATCTGTGTTGAATGAATAAAAACATGGCATTGGCAACGATCTACCTCGTGCAAGCATAAAATTGGTCTATACCCCCATACCACCTCAAACAGTTAACCCAAAAGAGGAAATGAGAGTCTGACTCTTATCCTACTCTTGATTCTTGTCAATCATTACAAGGTAATTATGTTACTTCAATTAGTGCTAGAAGTCCGGTAATTTCCAAATGACACTGTCCCTTAGCTCAATCCATTCCACCCCAGTGTCTTTAGCAGCCTGCCCCATACCACCTTATCCCCTTACAGTGGCTGTGAGATTAATGCCTCCTTTATCCTTCTTCTTAAAGCCAATGTTGGGAGGTTTGCTGTTCAAGCGAAGGCCAAAGCCTTCCAATTCATTTTCAATGATCTTCTTATGTCCCAAGGGTTTTAGGACATCCAGAACAATCAGGATCAAGTTACACGTTCGAGCCACTGAAGAATTAAAAAAT